GAGGTTTAATTGTATTTACGCTCCGAAAGGTTAATCAGTTATATGATGAGACCTACCTGAACTTTGATATTCGTATTGGTTGGTTTAAATGGTAGAAAAAAAAGAAGGAAAGATTCAGTGCTTGGTGTTTTTAAATTTTAGATTTACCCAGAGGAAATTTCAATAAAAACTGTTAGAAAGCTTTTCGTGTTGTGGAATATCGATAAAGATCTGGTCTGAAAAGTATTTTATGTCCGAGCGATCAGCTCGAAATTTGATTGGTCAATTTTGTATCAATCATTACGATTAATTCATTCATTCAGAACATGTTCGATTCTCCATTTGACATATTTGTGAATAAATGTTTTGAATTTCGGTGTAGGAAATGCAATCATGACTTATGACCAATCGGTCAAAGAAAGAAAATCTTGGTAAAAAACAAGTAAATTTTTTTTTGTTTTCCGCGTTCACAAAATCATTGCGTCATAAAATAAAAACGAAAACCGAATATTAGATTCGAAACTCGAGAAATGATTAATCGCGAATTATCAATTTTAAAATATATTCTAATTTTTAAAATCGATTACAATCCCTACGGTTATGATTACTTTGGTTCAATTATTTCGGGCTGCAACGATCGAATGATCTTTTTCTATATATTTCAGGTTTTTTATACTTAATTTGGTTGGTAAAGATTTTGCCTTTATGTTCCTCACCTTTTACGGTTTTACGATCACTTTCAAAAGAAAAGGTAAACCTTTTTATTTTTTTTTTTTTCATTTAGGTTTTTTTTTTTTTTGATCATAACATCTTTCTTTTGGAAGGTTCCGTCGCTCCACATTACAGTTAAATCAATAGGTAAGCATTTTTTCATTTGATCGATTTTTTATTTTTATTTTACTTTATTTTTTTACATTGCATTGATTAATTAAATATTTACGAACATTTTTATTTTATTTTTTTCTTTTGATTCTTGAATCGCTTCTAAAAGTATTAGGTAAGGTTATTTTTCTTATTTTATCAATTATTTTTTTTTGGATTTAGTCGCTTTCAAATAGTGCTGACTGTGTATAAAAAAATATTCACATTTACTGCGCCATAAAAAAAGTTTCGATTTTTTTTTTTCGATTTTCGATTCCAATTGACCGTTTATTGACCATTTTAACCTGCTTACCATTTTACCGGTTGGTAAAACTTTGCTACGATAAATTCATAAATTTAATAAGAACATCATTTCGAGACGTTCATTATTTACAGAATATTCTCTTTTATTTTGATCGATCAAACCGTCATAATCAATAAGTCCAAACGGCCGGTCGGTTAAAGGTGTCGACCGTAACCGACCGTAACATACTAATTAAGTACAAGAAATTTGTATAATTATTGACAATTAATTAGTAACATATTACACAAAATCATGGTTATTAAAGTTATTGAAGAACAAATTCCTAAATCTATAAAAATAATAGAGTTGGATATGTAGAAACAGCTTTATTTAGACCTTACGTCAAGTCTAGAAAGAGAATAAAACGATTACCCATCTCCAGAATAAAAATGAGTTGGGTGTCCAAGTATTTTAATTATCACAATAAAAAAAAATTCATCATATGTGGTATCAGTTGAAGCAAATCGTCAGATTCTACATCGGGTAGAAATCTTTGAACAATATTACTGTAAAATATTGGAGTTTTTTTTGATAATTCGTAAAGATATCAGAGCGAAACAGCAATAGAATAGAGGTTTGAACCGACCAAACAAACCATTAACCCGCACTTTAAATTTAGGCAGAGCTGGCGAAATTTTTTGTTAATTACAAAAATAAAATTCCGACCGAAAATTAAATTTCGGCCAGAGTTAAAATAACCAGCAGGTTAAAGAAACGGAACGATTATCTTTGTTGTTATGATATAATGATGATGATACAATGATCAACTACAATAAAATTGCTTAAATAGTTCACAAATTATGATAAAGTTAAAATCCTTATATATAGTTGATTTTTTTAATTCTTAATCATTATTTTTACTCAACAAAGAAAATGATCGAATTAAGTTCTTTAGTTAGTTATTTCGCTTTAGCAGTTATAAGTTGGTTTACTTATAAAGTTTATATTTATCCATGTTTTATTTCTCCTTTGAGAAAAATTCCTGGTCCACCATCTGAAAGTTTTCTTTACGGAAATCTTAATAGGATTTTCGTAGAAGAGGTTGGTTTATCATTTAATTTATAACAAACTACGGCGAAACATTAGAATATTTTTCTTATATTTGAAATGATTTTCTTAGTCCGGTGAACCACACACAAGATGGATAAAACAATACGGAAATTTTATAAAATATCACGGTATCTTAAATGAACCATATATTGTAGTTACAGATACAAAATTAATTCAAGATATTGTTTTAAAACATGGATATGATTTTGTTAAACCTATGGCTTTGAGGGGAAATTCTAAGCAAATTCTTGGTCGAGGTGTTTCCATTGTAGAAGGAGAAATACACAAGAGACAGAGAAAAATGCTGAACCCTGCTTTCACTCATAATACCATTAAAGTACGTAAGTCCATTGAAATTTTGACTTAATTTAATAAAATAATTAATTTTTTAATTTTTTTACACAATTAGAATATGGTTCCAACATTTGTTCGCGTGGCTCAGACATTAAAAAGTTCGATATATGATAAAGTAAATAAAGGAGAATCAACAATTAACCTTTCTCCTATCATTTCCAAAACTACTTTAGATGTCATTGGCTTAGTTGGTAAGAGAAAAATTTTTTTGTATACATTAAACTTATAAATTTCCCACCTTAAAAAAATTTTTTTTTTTCAGGATTTAATCACGAATTTAATTCATTAACGTCCCCAAGTGAATTAGCAGATGCTTATATGTATTTATTAGGCAATAAATTAACTCCTCTTTCCATTTGCGTGAGTATTTTATCTACATATGTTCCATATGTCAGAAAAATTCCAATTAATATAAACAGAAAATTTAATAATTCATGTAAAGTACTTGAACAAGAATCGAGAAAGTTACTTGAAGAAAAATACCGTGATGACAGAAATAACAAATTGGATGGAAATGATTTATTGTCTACATTAATTAAAATCAATAAAAATTTACCTGTTGAAGAAAAAATGACCGACGAAGAAATGAAATATCAGGTGATTAAAGAAAATTTTTTTTTCTTAAAGGAAATTTGTACTTAATTAAACAAATTCTATTTTATTTCATTTTTTTTGGATACTTAGATCATGACGTTTTTGCTAGCAGGACATGAAACCACGAGTATTTCAACAGCTTGGGCTTTACAACTACTTGCAAAACATCCAGATGTGCAGGATAAATTACGTGAAGAGGTGGTTGAAGCTTTTCCTGATAAATCAAAATTTAATCCCAACTTTGACGAAATTAATTCTTTGGAATATCTTAATTGCGTAATTAAAGAAACGTTAAGATTATATCCTCCAGGTAAAGTTTTTTATCAAATTACCAATTACATAGTAGCTTTAATTAACGATTACTTTTATCTAGTTTCTTTTCTTCAACGTTCTAATATCAAAGATATGGTGTTTGGCGAGCATTTCATTCCAAAAGTATGTTAATATTATTGTTCTTCATAATAGGTTAAGAAAAAGTTTATTAAAAACAATCTTTTAATTATTAGGGTTCTACAATTAATATCCCAATTGCAACGCTTCAGAGGTTACCTTCGATTTGGGGACCAACGGCTGATCATTTTGATCCGAAAAGATGGTTAAACCCTTCATTAATTAAAGATGTGACAATTTACAATTATTTACCTTTCAGTACTGGTGTTAGATCTTGTATAGGTAACAAAATAGCTTTAAGTGAGTTTAAGATATTATTAGGTATGCTAGTTAGAAATTTCACTTTCCGATCCGTTGAAGGATTTGAGGTTAAGAAAAGGGCAGGTCTTTTTGGTAAACCTGATCCATATGTTGAATTAATTGTTTCTAAGGTTGAAGTTTAACAGGATTTTATATGGATTATCTTGGATTACTATCTTATTACTATCATTATTATTTCTTTAACCTATTATCTATTAAATGCGTAATAAATAAATAAATAAATATACTATTCTAAACTATCTTGCCTTACGCTGTTATATATTTGCTCGCGATAGAGATTTAAACCTTTTTTTTTTAGTTATAGTTATACATATATTTAGCATTTGTTTAAATTTAAATTGATAAAAATGGTTGGAATAATATTTTCTAAATAATTGAATGAAACCTGCTGTATATACGTAATTCAATCAATTACAATAATTACTTTTAAAATAAAAATTTTGTTCAACGAATGAACTTTTTTTTTAAAAAAAAAAAAAAAAAAAACTAACTAATAAGCGAATTTGTAACATAGACCAAGCTAAATTGCCACAGTATATTCACGCATGATGATATTTATGTAATCTTAATCTCATCACAACTTCAATATACTCACATTTTCAGAAGTCCGACTTATACGGTATTAAATTGCAAAGTTAACATCAATTAATTCCCACGTAAATTAAGCAATGTTACTAGTTCTTCCAGACTTAATAATAAAAAGGATCGGACATACACACGTTTATTTAAAAAAGAAAAAAATTTCAAAATATTTGAATGGTAAATGTTGCCTCGAATTTTGGACGCAAAAAAACGGTTATATTTTTCTTTAATTAATATTAAATATTTTTTAATATCGTTATTCGAAAAAAAATTTATGTGTTTAAATTCATTTGTTAACTGAATATTTATTTTATTTTTATTATCCTATGGAACAACACAATGTATTGAATAATAATGAATCATCATAATAAAAAAATTCTTGCGAAAATACTTAAAACTTATGTAAATACAAAGGAAATCATTGCTTACTATAAAAAATTAACATACATAAATTGAGTTTAAAATTTGAAGTTGAAAATATTTATGACAATTTCTTAACATATGTCAGATTTTGCCACATTCTTATATAATCGAATATTTGTATACTTCTCTTACCTTTGTGATTTTACTGATTGGTTTGAAGTAAATAGATGATGATTTGTTGCAGTATTCTGATATGTTCCTGTTCGTTAGGAACCGAATGTATTCCATACGGATCAACGAAAATGTTATTTCTTGCATAACTAGCTTGAAAGAATCCATCAAATGAAGAATTCACACCGCTGATAGAAGGATGCTCAGTCAGAAAGATCGGAAGGTATACGCTTGATGAATCTTGTGTGCAGATTAAATTCTCAACAGGTGTTTCTTTTTGAGTATAATTAGCATTATCCGAGTCAGAGTCACAAATTAAATTCGTTGTTTGTAAAGATGGAATCTGCCCGCTTTCTTGATTATTTTCAACATCATTCATATGTTTATCAAATACGATTTGAATTGTATTTTGCTTAAATAATTTTTTAGCTTCCTCAACTAATTTATTGTAATAGTCTTTTACGTTTTGTGATTCATTATTCCAAGATTCTTTGGCGAGCTTAGAGAATTGTCCCGCAGGAGGTATTTTAGCGTTTTTAATACGATACTCACGATTTAATGCCATTCTGTACGCGATAAAAGCGTTTGGAAGTATTTTGGCTTTACCGTTATTAGCATTTTTGATGAGATCGTATGTTGTTAAAATGGGAGGGAAAGTCGGTTTGATATCGGTTAGAACTTTATTTGAATTATTGTCAATAAAGTGTGTTTCTCTATTTGATTTGGAATTGTTTTCGTTGAAATTTGAATTAATGTTAAGCGAAGCGATACGATTTTTATTTTTCTTTGAAGTTTTAGGCATGATTAAATTTAAATTGTGCATTGCTTTCTTTGTTATTTATAATTATTTTTCTATCAAGTAGCTATTAATTTTCTAGTGAATTGTGTAATAATTTTGTTGCATGAAAAAATAAATGGTATGAAGATCATGGTTATACCATTTACTTAGGCGTGGGGACTGCGGTCAAAAGATGATGGTTTAACCATGCTATCGAATAAAATTTTTGCTTATTAATACATTTGCCAATAATTTGCTTAGTAATGCTTATCGTAATATCGTTATCAATGA